AAGTATTTGAATTAAAAACTTTTTTCATGATAAAATGTTGTATGACAAATTTGATTATTTTATCAGAACTAACATTAAAATTGTAATTTTCAATGTATAAGATAAAATACAATACTTAAAGTACACAATTTTATGACCCGTACAAGTTACTAAAAGCTATAAATAAATGTATTTAATGTAATAATGTAAATCAAGGTTTTGTAGTATAGGTACCGAATGTGGTTAATAATTTAAAACATATTATAAATCATATATATTATTAAAAGTATCAAAATTTAATTAATTCTTAATGGATTCATATTAGTTTTCAATAGTTGTAAACTTTGYTTAAAATTGAGTTTTCAAAATACAAAAGACATGTATCATGTATCGTGTACCCAATGTCACCGTCGTAGAAGCACATTAAAAAAAGATAAAATATTTCTTGTACAAATATGGTATAAAGCTTGTGCTACGCTCATCATTTGAAATTCCAAAAGTCTAATAGCAGTAGTGTCTAGCAGTTATGTATACAAACGTACCTACATACATTTTTTGAGGGTTTATTCTAAAGTTTGTTTCACTAAGAACTTAGCGTAAAATCTTTATTGAAATAGACACTTAATAAGACCCGTGAGGCCGTGAATACTAGTATAGATTTTGACGGTGATCCGCCCAACACAAATGATTTACATTTTATATTAATGTAATGAATCAGCATCTGGGAAACAATGTAAGTAGAAAACGAGTTAGAGAATTTTCAACGGTAATATTATCAATGCCTGCGATCCTGGATTAAAGAGGATAGGGTTATCAAGGGCAATTATTGAATAATAAWTTAAGGTTTTATTCTTAATAATCGATTATTGTATTTTAWCATATCTGATGAAAGGAAAACACGATGTCATTTTTGGTTATCGGCGCGGTCCATTAGATAGAATATTATGATGAACTATACTAAAATGATTTAGATACACATAATTGTATGACAATCAAAAAATTACTTTTTTTTTTTATTATTATTATTCATCATCATCATCATCATTATCTTTTAGATAAACGGATCAGAGCGTTGTACGCGATACGAGAGCGTTACGTTCCGGTTGGCCCAGCGCCGTTGTCAATACTGCAGCAGACAGAGTTCGGACTCGTCATTGAGCAGTAACTACCCATTGCTGGTCAACAAAAACCGTTCGTCGAGTGAGCCAAATACRCCTAAACATCACAACAACAACGAAAACCGAATCGTCATGTTTAAGGTAAAATTATTGCAAGTATATACTATACCTATTTTAGTTTAGAGTTGGCTACGATTATTATTTTTTCACACATTTATCAAACACAACACTGGTAGATAATAAATTATATAATTTCTTACGATATTATTAAAATAAACGTCAATATGGATCAAAGTGGGAGAGTGGTGGTGTGTGCTATTACGACATAAAAGTGGAAGAAATAAACACCAAAATACCAGATATTTTATGTACGACAATAGGTATATCGCCTATTAAAATTCCAAACGTATAGTCTTAATCGACAAATGAATTAAGTATGAGGTATCTGATTAAATATAACTTTTGCAGTGTTTTTGTTTGATAACATTATACTGTTGGTACATCTTAGTAATTAAAATTAGCAATCATATGAACTAGACCGTAGAGACTGTTGATTTCGCAAAAACACAATATTTCGTATAAAGGAGTTTTATGAATTCCATTTAAAGAACAAAAATATAGATTTTTACAATCATATATAATAATACAGTGAAAACTCTCTATAACAAATCTGATGGGTCATGTGATTTCTTTCGTTATTGAGAGTTTTCGTAATAGAGAGTAATTAATATGTTTTAATTAATAATACCAACCATTATAAGTTAACTTAATGTTATTTACGTAATATAATAGAGTTTTTGTTGTAACGAGTTTCGTTATAAAGAGTTTTCACTGTATTTTGTAATGGTATAATGATGGGTACAAATGATATTATTTTTACACGTCTTGCTGCAAGCGATWTGTATTTCTATATCTTTGGCACGTATGTAACRACCTAGCACTCTCTGCAAGTTTTGGCGGCCCTTCMGACATAAGCATAGCCTAAGGAACTATTAGAATATAAAGTTCTACGATGAATATTATAACGAAAAATATATCACGGCTTCAAATCAGTATTAAATCTAATAAATAATAGTGATATATGTCAATATCTTTTATTTCAGCCGAAACAGATAGCACATAATATATGTGATATTTTGAAAGTTGAAAGTTGAAAGTTTAAAGATGAATAATATGATAATGTCTATAAGAAAAAAAATCGAATGATTATAATGATCTACGCATTCTATATACTTTATAGTGCGGTAAAAATTATACAGAGTGATAGTTCCACAGGTTATTTTTTTTTATTTATTTATTTTTTATTAAAGCCACAACAACTAAGGTTATTGGCATATTGTACAATGTAAACATTAAATTWAGTGCTAGATAACATTATGAATATTAAGTACAATGTAGATTATTTATAAAGGTATAACGTTTAAATATAGAAGTAAAGGTTATTATAATCACATTATTAGAGGTATATCATATTAATTGATAGCTGTTGAACGACTATAGCAAGTCGTGTATTACGTCAAGTTTATACAAAATAATAGACAAAAATATTTAGATACATACTTATGGGCGCTGCATTATTTATTCTACAATAGTAATTAAATTATGGATACCAAATACCCATGTATACGTTTGTTTATATCAATGTAAATTTAATACCCCATCAAAAGTATAATTTTTCATTAAAATTTAGAAACGAATACAATTTGAAAYAATTGTTATAATATCCGTTGGTTATTATCATACCATAACAGTTTTAAAATATTTCATGTCGTCAAGTAAGATATCATAAATTGGCCTTGATATACCTTGACTGTATGTATAAATTTTTTCATAAGAAAGTAACATTTTCATTAAATATTTTACAACATAAAAATTCTTTCTAAAATTTAAATTAAATGTTGTATTTAAATACAATTACACGATTCAGGCTAAAAACAAATACACAAAGTGCGTTATATACATATCATTCAAATTTTAAATATTTGTAAAATGTCTAATACAATCTAAAATTCCATTGTAAAAATTTCGAGGTATCAAATAAACATGGATTTTTCTCAACAATGGTCGAAAAACTGATGATTAATAATATTATTTTTCTAAATTAGGTTATGCTAAATATTTTTTATACAGACAACAGGAAAAAATAGAAMTTTTTAAAAACAAAATTATAAGTATATACATATTATTATGTATGAAAACTGTTGAAATTAGATTATACCACATATTCATTTGCCTATGAAATGTAAAATTAAATGTCAGAGTTTAATTTCTGTATGGTTATTATTCTGTTTTACTTGGAACTTTTAACAATTCTCATTAGGTGGGTTCATTACAAGTTATGTCGACGCCTCTACTTGAGTCAAAATATATCAGTGGCTTTATACACCAGATAGGTCATCGTCAAAYCGTCAAAATAAATAAGTCCTTATCTATTGAAATTTATTCCAAAATTACTCTTTTTGGATAACATTTTGAACAATTTCAATTAATTTGAATAATATAATAATAATCGTAATAATCTTTATAACGAAAGAAAACTTCATTTGCATAATATTATTTTATCGGTCACTATATAGTCACAGATTGGGTAATGTTATTTAACAATACTTAGATACGTGTGTGCATTGGGACGATGTATCTATGTTCTATACCAACAAACTATAGTTCATAGATACTTATATTGTATTATACTAAAATCGTCTAATAATAGGTCGTTCATTCTTTTGATTTTTGATAAACTACACGTGGACATGGGCTATGGTTGCAGAATCAACAAAGGTTTTGTCCCAAAGAATCAATACAATAATAAACGTATTCTTAATACATATAATATTATATACTAGGTAGGTASATTATACATTWACTCGAATATCTGCAAAAGTTTTTATTTGCAAAAACCATAATGATATCATCTATCTCTCAATACATATTACTTACCGTTTGTTATAAATAAACATATAAAGGAATATTACTGTCTTAAAATATGAAAATACTCACAATATAATATATATATATTATGTACATTGAACTTTTACAAAAATATTGGTTGTATTTGTAATGCACAGTATTATATTATATAATAATATACCATATACTTATATAGGTACCTTATATATAAGTCAATATTGTTATTATGTCTTCATCGTCGAATAGATCATTGATTAGTTTACCGTCTGAATAGTATTAAAGAAGATAGTATTATACAGCAATATGTGCGCTGGGTATAGAATGTGGGGCATGTTTTTTTTTCCATTGACCTATTTTAGATTATTTTGATTTATTTTCTAAATAATATTGTGCTCTATTCAATTATCCCAATAATAACTACAATATAAACGCACAACATAGTTTTTTGTGTGATTACTGATGAATGATGATTGATGAATATACTTAAACGTAAGAGATCGGCTCTGAGATGTGCAGAATACATAATATTAACCAAAATAGTGAAACACTTTTATTTTGAACCCTGGTGCCGGTAAAAATATTCGACAGGGGGGTAAAAATATACTAGAATATATTTACCTCCCATTGAATTTTTGTAGTAGATTATTTTTACCACCCGGTAAAAATGTGTTTTTAAGGGKGGTAAAAATATCMTAGAATATAATCAACGAACCGTATGTAGTTTAAAAATAGTTTGTCATATGTACTTGTAATTTGYATCAAATAGACATTTGCTATTTATTATACAATTTGCAAAATATTTGGCTCATTTTAAGCTATTTAGAATTGTTTTAAATATTTWTTTTTTTCTTAGGWTTTTTTAMATAGTTGTATATAAGTATCTGTATGTTTATACTYAGTTAAAAAGTATGACAATTTAATACAAGATTCCACACAATTCAACTCGTACTCGTTAAAGTATTTTAAAAATATACAAAATATAATATGTATCTTACCTACCAACACATTTATTATTTTTTTTGTCAACGATTGAAGTAGTTTTGACCAAATAGTAGATTGATTTAGAGAAATAAATTATTAACATATTTTGTATTTTATCATTATCTCATAATGAAAAGGTTTTAAAGTAATTTTTGTAATTGTTTATTGAATCATTTGTAAGTTAAAGGACATTGAATAATATTTTTACTGTAAATACTAAATCATAAAAAGTTTATGCAATATCCAGAAATTCAATTAACTTAAGTTTAGAATCAAAGTTTTTGTATCCAACTTGATTGTTAATTAAGTATAATACCGTACATTTTATTTTGAATTGTATAGTTGTATTTTTATTCTTATCATAATATTTAGCGACAGTCCCGAATATGTTGAAAATACTGTTTAATTTTTAATAAACAAATCAATATAATAATAAGAACACATTTTTATAGGGGGGGTAAAAATATCCTATATGAATTCACCTGGGAGGTAAATATATCCTAGTATAATTTAAATAAAGTTTAATTTATCCCAGTATATTTTTACCTCCCTGTAGAACAATTTTACCTAGGGGGTAAAAATAACCCAGTATATTTTTACCCCCTCTGGAAGCGTTTTACCGGGGGGGGAGGAGGTTAAAAAAATCCTAGTATATTTTTACCCCCCTGTAGAACAATTTTACCGGGGGGTAAAATTAACCTAGTATATTTTTACACCCCTTATAATTTTACCAGGGGTATAAATATACAAGGTTAAATTTACCCCCGGTAAATATATCCTAGGTTAATTTTACCCCCGGTAAAAATATCCGCGGGTAAAAATCRCCTGTTACAAAAACGTAATACCATTTTTTTTCTACCTTGATTATCGATATCATAAAACTAATTTCGTATGAATTATGAATAAGTATCTTTATCAAAAGATCATACAACTATATATGTTAAAGATATTAAAAATATATGGCACTATATATAAGTATACATGTACTGGAGTATACATTATAATATATATATGTATATTATACACTATACATATGATATAAAATATATATTTTTAAACTTTTTTAAGAGTTGTAGAAGTTATGAAAAAATCATTAATTATAAAACTTCAAAATACATTAAGTGCACACTTTGCTTTTATTTTTATAAAAAAGGCATATTGTTTGAAAAATCCATGTTTCATGGAAAATACTTAACGTTCTAAACATGTTTAATTTTTTTGAAAAACATGTAATTTATTTTAATTCTAAGCTA